AGTTTTTTGGGCAGTGTAGAGTAGGGCTTGTTGTTTGTCATTTCTCCGATCACAAATGCAGACATGGTTTTATGTTTACGCAGCGCGATTCAATGCAACGCGTAAAAAGACAGTATAAGTCATTATAATCCTTATTATTTATAATGGGTTTTAATGTTTTTGTCTCATTGCTCCGGCCCGACGGCATCACAGTATGGTAGGGGCGTAACATTTCCGTCACACGCTTGAGGTATTCAGCCAATCACAACGCACTGGATAGCTGGCCAATCACATCTCGCTTTTCAGACCGATGAGCTTTGTAAAAATCGACGCGTTTCAGAAAGGCGGGGCATAGAGGAGAAACAATAATGTATAGTATGTTGAAAATAATGTGTTTTTTGAACCTTAAACCACATAAACACATTTCATTACACCAAATACACAAAATAATGTTCTTTTTAGCAACATCATATGACCCCTTTAATGCTGTACATCAATAATAAAGGACATATATGGTTTTACTGCCTACATTATTTAACTTGAATATGATTCACTGTTTTATATGGTTTTATGGTTTTATCTTGACAGATAAAAAGAACAATGTAAGGAGAGAAGAAAGAAGAAATGCACAGAAAATGCTGAAGCTCTTTGGGAACAAAACTGTCACAGAACCTCCATGGCAAATGTAAAAAAAAAAAAAAAAATATATATATATATATAAAAACCGTTTTTATAAACACATTTTTACAAAAAATATTTTGTATAAATAATTTCTACTTCAATAATTAGGATCTGACATGTAGCAAGAGATTGCACATCCTTTTTTAATTTGTATTAAGCTTTGTTTACATTATTATGGTGCATACTAACCTGTATTTATGCATTTATATTTTTGAAAGGTTGGGAGGGTTTTCCCCAATACTACCACATGACTTAACCCCCAGTACAGTGTGGTTTAACTAAGACAAGATGCATGTTGGACTATGACACTGTACATTTCCATCTGATGAATAGCAGACAAACAGCTTCTTGTGGTTTGAGCTGTATCTCCACAAGCTTTCTCTACATGCCTTGGGCTGTTCTGTGTTTTCAAACCACATACTCTCCCTATATTTGCACTTCTTTGGTATAATTGCATTAGCAAAAAAAAAAGAAACAAGAACAATGTAAAGAATTGTGTAAAGAGATGCCAAGATCATGACTTGCACTCCTTTATTGAGTCTCGAGCCATGTGATTGGCTGTGGACATGTCATGTGACCCAATGAGTGAGATTTATTTTTAAATAAGAAAAGTGATAAATTATTGTATATATCTCATGTATATTTCTAAGTTAACTTGCCAGTATTGTGCATACTTTGTCTAAACAGCTTAAATTAAAGTATAATATTGCATTATTTTCTTAGAGCCTCAACAGTCCCATTAAACTCGTTGTCTCTTTTTTTCTCTTTTGAAACTGATTGTCCCCCCGTGAAAACTGAAATGTTCTACAACATGCTGCTTTTGATTTGAGAAGGATGGGAATGTGCTGATTTGAATGTGATTTATTTGTGCTTTCCTGCACAGTATTCTCTCAGGCGGCTGAAATGTATTTACTGGAAAAATCACAGTTTTGCTCACTAAAGCAAGTAGACCCGTAGGAATATTTACTTTTTTCTCAAGATGAGGGGTTATGGACATGATACAGAAGAGAAAGGGATAATGTTTTTTTTTTTTTAAATATACAGTGGGGAAAAAAAGTATTTAGTCAGCCACCAATTGTGCAAGTTCTCCCACTTAAAAAGATGAGAGAGGCCTGTAATTTTCATCATAGGTATACCTCAACTATGAGAGACAAAATGAGAAGAAAAAAATCCAGAAAATCACATTGTAGGATTTTTAAAGAATTTATTTGCAAATTATGGTGGAAAATAAGTATTTGGTCAATAACAAAATTTCATCTCAATACTTTGTTATATACCCTTTGTTGGCAATGACAGAGGTCAAACGTCTTCTGTAAGTCTTCACAAGGTTTTCACACACGGTTGCTGGGAAGTGGATTGCAGATGTTAACTTGCCATCATACGACATTTTATTAAATAAATAAATAAATAACTTTTGGTAAGTAGGCTATATTCACTTAACAAAAATTTAAATATTGCTTAAGCTGTTTGGTAAGTAAATGCCTATGCTGACTGATAAGCCAAAGGTATTTGTTACAATATTAAATTAATTTTCAAAAGATTGTGCCAGGTTGTCCCATATTTTTTTTTAAATACTAATGAATTAAAAAGTGGTTACCTTTACAATTTTTCTGTGATTCGTGAATTGTTTTGTGATCAATAATATTTTTCTTTTTTGAAGGACCATTAAGAACCCTATAATAAATATTAAATGCACACACTTTAAGTTGAATTTGATTCTTTCTTTCTTTTTTAAGTGTCAATAAACAAAGTAAAAATGCAACAGCTAACCCCAACTTCCCCTTACATGTTAATAACCATAAGTGTGTGATCTATATATAATTCTCTATTATAGATCAGTGGTTTCTGCCAATTTCTAATTTGCTTCTGGTCTTTTATAATAGCCCAAATCAACTGGGTTACTGTATTTTTTAAATAAAACATTTCTTACTTTTTCAGCATTAAACTGGGATTGAATAAAATATTTGTGCATATTCAGTCCAAATAAAATATGTATAAAATAAAGATTCTCCAAATAATTTAAACCACCATTAATTACGGTACAAGCCTCTCCTCTAAGAGCGAGTTCTTCCGTATTCAGCCACTAGATGGTAATGTTCACCTGAAATATAAATCTACACTGCCTTCTATTAAGAATGAACATCATACGGGCTGTTTCCAGTTCAGAGGTCATCCGCTCAACACTGGGTCACCAGTTCCCAATGAAACTTTGCAACAAACCTTAAACATCTCAGTGGGAGTCTCAGAGAAAACATGCCAAATACAATGTGAAGTGACACATTATATGATGTGTTGTGAGCTTGATGCTGTGCGAACAGCATCCAACCTGACACATGTCTTCTCAAGAATGCAAACACACACTCCATATGATTAAAGCACCTCTGGTTGAACTGTAATTAGTGCTGTTTGCTAAGAGAAGCATCACTAATGCACATAGGCTACATTTAGGTAATAGCTAATCAAATCTTGTATGCTACAAACATGTCTGTATAAGTCGCGTTTACACAGGTGCCATGTGCTTTAAGCACACTGATTGGATGCCTGTAACATTGTAAGCCTACACACACCATGACCCACCATGTGTTAACTTTCAACAATCAGTGCTATTAAGAATCCCCTCAATTGAATGAATATGTTCTAAATTAGGTTTAGACATTGCTAGGCTATGTGATTGCAAGGATATTTTGGGAAGTTAGGTGGTTTCTCAGGGCCTCAACATTTCTGATACTGTGATACTACTCACTTTGAAAAGGTAAAAGATTTATTAATAGTTGTAATAGGCTACATTTCTGGTGTCGGTTGATGGTCACGTGACATTCAGGTCAACCATTTTTTTCTTTTTTTTTTGTATTTAATTTTTTTTATATAGTTTTACTTTGACTGTTTTATTTAAAAATACTTATTTCAATTTGACATTTTTATTATTTAATTCATTATTAGCATTTCATAAATGAATACCATGCAGTTCCCTCAGCAAACACTAGTTTAGTCAAGCTGAAACCTTGATGCACTGTGGTGAGTATTTTGATGCATTCCAATTAGCACGGAAAATACTTATTCACATGGGCGTTGCTAGGCCATTTATAGGGGGGCTATAGCCTCAGTCAGTCCCCTTTAAATTTCATATGAAAATGGCAGACTTCGATCGACTCCTCGCCGTCTTTCAGCACATTCTTTTTCAATCCGCAG